ATCAAAGCTATGAATCTTTATTTGCAAGTCTCACCAACGTTTAGAAAAGGAAGCCCCTACAGGATCACAAACCATATTTGATTCCCAAACATTAAATACAAACGTGACATTCACCAAGAAAGAGCTATGCAATTCAGTCCTGCTGTATCTATCCTCCACAATTTTGCCTCCAGTTGTAGGGTAAAAGATCGTTTCTGCACAATATATAATGTTGGTCTTACTACACATTTGCACAGTTCATATCCATTTTTATGACAGAACCTAAGCCCGGTGCATCACATGCTGATCGTACATCATTCAAAGTTGTCTCCCTCCATCACTTAAACTTCTTACCAGCATGAAATGATTTAGCTGCAGGCAAGTACTGTTAAAACAGTGCTTTCCAGAATTAGTCCGATCACTGCATTCAAGATTAATTTTCATGACAGTCACAACAGCCATGGCAGAAACAGAAGAACACCTTTGAAATAGTCACAATGGTTAGTCCACAAATTCCTTCAATCATAACCATCTCAGCTTTCTTAAACCAGACCCAGAGATCCAGCTGCACTCCCACTGCCCGGTTTAGCAAGATCTGAATGCAATTCAGGTCACAGTCAGGATCACAGCGAGATCTTATTTCAGTTAACGTGACTTGCTCTGGAGAGCCCCTTCTCATTCCCTGTGTCAGCAATGCCAGATCTGCACATTCCCAGCGCTGAAATCCTCCTCTGCAGTGAAGAGTCAGCGCTTACTCCAGGCAACTTAAGCCTCTTTTCTTCATAAAAGACACACGTCTCTCCCATGCACACACACCAGAGCACGTAAGCAGCATAGGTTTTCCCCCACCCCCGAGCTGTCCATTCAAATGCGTTGTGGGTTTGGTTTTGCCAGTGCAGATTTGCACAGTGGTTAATAGGTAATCACTTATTTTGTGTGGCTGCATGATGACACCTCCCCCCCCTCCTCCCAGTTTGCCAAAGGAGTATCTGCATCAAGCTGCTTTGGCTTTTGTGATCAGCATTTGGGGATAACAGCTGACAGGAGGAGGCTGAAAGGTTTGTGAGCTGATTCTTTATCCTCCAACACATCCCCAACCACACATCCCAGCGTTGGCTTCAAAAATACCCATGGCCATCAGTAAGTTGAGAGGGAATTGGTTTTAAATAAGTGCAAATGACATTGAGAAGACAAACAAATAGGCTTTCTGCTGCACTGCATGATTTTACCAGCTTCTTTCCTAGGTAGCAATTCCACACAACCTTCCCACACATTTCCTCTCTGCACCCCTCCTCAAAAAAAACACCCAATCTTTGCTGTGCAATCTCCATTTTACCTCAAGAGCCCTGCGCTAAGAACATCAAGCTCTCCCCCCACCCCGAAACGTGCTGTCTCCATCTTAACTTCAGCCACTTTTTCAGAAATTTCATTTAGCAGCAAAGTTAACCCTTCAGTTACCCATACACCATCCTCAATACCCTTTCCTTCTGCCTCGCCAGCCCGGCTGCTTCCTCCTCCCCCCACCCGTCCCAGCAAAACTACAATCCTCTAAAATCCATCTGATGTCTTATCTCCAGGATTTATTCTGGAGCTTTCAAGTGCAGGGAGAAAATTAACCCCGTAAAATGCTAGCGGCGCCCTTTGATTTCCATGCCCCATCATATAAAATGTCTCATTGTTGCTTTCTCCCATATGTCTAGCTTATTCTCCCGGAAGATATTTGAAAATGGACCAAATTAATCCACTTGTTTGTCCTATCTACCACCCCTTTTCCTCCAAATCTCCTTCCCAAATATTGTTTGTGGGATGCCTATCTCGTCCCCTCTCACTTCTGAGGTCTCTTCTTTCTGCACATAGAATTGTCCTAGAGAACATTGGAGCTCAATGAGCTCTATGTACAGTTATCCTTAGATCACCTCTTTCCCCAGAATCTCAACTCTGTGGGGTTCATACTTACAGGCTTAGTCTATGGAATGCCTTCATGCTCCCTCCCAAATCTGTTTGGGGTATGTTTGTCTCCAAAGTCATCCTGGAGATTTCATCCCCAAACCAGATCCCTCCACCCCATCCCTAGAAATTATTTCCTTTCCCTGTCTCCTCTTGACATGCAAATCCTTTCCTACCTTCCCAAAGAAGACCTTCCCTTATGGTTTTTCCTCAAGGGAATAAATCTCATTTCTGACCTCCAATCCCTTACCTCAAAGATCCCCAATCCCCCCCATGTCTACTGAAGGGGTGTTTCTTTCCTATTACCAAAGATTTATGCAGGACATCTCACTACATTTTCCCCTCTTCCTGGGGCAGGGGATGGGTGTATCTTCCCCTCCTCTTCCCTGCAGACCCATGGCCCAACAGCTCACCCTGAATGCAGGTAAGGATGTAAACATCCCCCCGCCCTCCATCCCAAATCCATATTCAGAAGTTTTTCTAGGGGTAGAGATGAGCTAACCCCTAAGTACACAGTCACCCATTCAAACTTCATGTCCACCACTTCTCTCTATACCCTGAATTAACCTTGGTATAGATTGACCAGTTTCACTTCCTAATCCCAGCCACATGCCATGGAACATTCCCCCTTGAGCACAGGAGCAATTCTTCCTCCCCTAGACCTGTGGACCCAGCCAACAGAGTTCTCCCTGTGTGGGAATGACCTCCACTCCACATGACCATGCTCTCCTCTCTGCCTCCCCTGTACAGAGACCTCCACTCTAAAGCTCTTCCCACGGGTGGGGTTCCCCCTACCCCCATCATTCCCACGAGATTAGGGGCCAACACCTTCCCCATTTCTTCCCAGGCTCCTTCCCTGCTGCTAGCCTTGTGTGCATGTCTAGGAGTGACTCCTCTTCCCAAGGCCCATCCCCATAGTGTATCTGGGGGGGGTTGATCCCCTCTCCTCCAGCTCTCCCTTCCCCCCTGTCAGCGAGTGACCCCCCCCTCCTTAAATCCTCCTCCCCCCCAGTGTACGTGGGGGAACTAACCTCTCCTCAAGCCCTCAGAGAGAGAGAGAGAGAAGCCCTCAGAGAGAGAGAGAGAGAGAGAGAGAGAGAGAGAGAGAGAGAGAGAGAGAGACATCGACCCTTTTCTCCCCAGTGTGTGGGGGGGTAACCCCCCTCCTCAAGGCCTTCTCCCGCAGTGTGTGTGGTGTTGAGGGTGACCTGCATCTGCTCATGGCCTCCAATGTTTGTGTGAGGGGGTGACCACCCCCTTCTCAAGCCCTTTCTCCCCCAGTGTGTGGGGGTGACCCCCCTTCTCAAGCCCTTTCTCCACCAGTGTGTGGGGGTGACCCCCCTCTCAAGCCCTTTCTCCACCAGTGTGTAGGGGTGACCCCCCTTCTCCTCAAGCCCTTTCTCCCCCAGTGTGTGAGGGTGACCCCCAAAGCTCTTTCTCCACGAGTGTCGGGGAGTGACCCCCCTTCCTTTCTGCCCAATATCTGGGGGAGTGACCCCCCCTTCTCCTCAAGCCCTTTCTGCCCAATATCTGGGGGAGTGACCCCCCCTTCTCCTCAAGCCCTTTCTGCCCAATATCTGGGGGAGTGACCCCCCCTTCTCCTCAAGCCCTTTCTGCCCAATATCTGGGGGAGTGACCCCCCCTTCTCCTCAAGCCCTTTCTGCCCAATATCTGGGGGAGTGACCCCCCCTTCTCCTCAAGCCCTTTCTGCCCAATATCTGGGGGAGTGACCCCCCCTTCTCCTCAAGCCCTTTCTGCCCAATATCTGGGGGAGTGACCCCCCCTTCTCCTCAAGCCCTTTCTGCCCAATATCTGGGGGAGTGACCCCCCCTTCTCCTCAAGCCCTTTCTGCCCAATATCTGGGGGAGTGACCCCCCCTTCTCCTCAAGCCCTTTCTGCCCAATATCTGGGGGAGTGACCCCCCCTTCTCCTCAAGCCCTTTCTGCCCAATATCTGGGGGAGTGACCCCCCCTTCTCCTCAAGCCCTTTCTGCCCAATATCTGGGGGAGTGACCCCCCCTTCTCCTCAAGCCCTTTCTGCCCAATATCTGGGGGAGTGACCCCCCCTTCTCCTCAAGCCCTTTCTGCCCAATATCTGGGGGAGTGACCCCCCCTTCTCCTCAAGCCCTTTCTGCCCAATATCTGGGGGAGTGACCCCCCCTTCTCCTCAAGCCCTTTCTGCCCAATATCTGGGGGAGTGACCCCCCCTTCTCCTCAAGCCCTTTCTGCCCAATATCTGGGGGAGTGACCCCCCCTTCTCCTCAAGCCCTTTCTGCCCAATATCTGGGGGAGTGACCCCCCCTTCTCCTCAAGCCCTTTCTGCCCAATATCTGGGGGAGTGACCCCCCCTTCTCCTCAAGCCCTTTCTGCCCAATATCTGGGGGAGTGACCCCCCCTTCTCCTCAAGCCCTTTCTGCCCAATATCTGGGGGAGTGACCCCCCCTTCTCCTCAAGCCCTTTCTGCCCAATATCTGGGGGAGTGACCCCCCCTTCTCCTCAAGCCCTTTCTGCCCAATATCTGGGGGAGTGACCCCCCCTTCTCCTCAAGCCCTTTCTGCCCAATATCTGGGGGAGTGACCCCCCCTTCTCCTCAAGCCCTTTCTGCCCAATATCTGGGGGAGTGACCCCCCCTTCTCCTCAAGCCCTTTCTGCCCAATATCTGGGGGAGTGACCCCCCCTTCTCCTCAAGCCCTTTCTGCCCAATATCTGGGGGAGTGACCCCCCCTTCTCCTCAAGCCCTTTCTGCCCAATATCTGGGGGAGTGACCCCCCCTTCTCCTCAAGCCCTTTCTGCCCAATATCTGGGGGAGTGACCCCCCCTTCTCCTCAAGCCCTTTCTGCCCAATATCTGGGGGAGTGACCCCCCCTTCTCCTCAAGCCCTTTCTGCCCAATATCTGGGGGAGTGACCCCCCCTTCTCCTCAAGCCCTTTCTGCCCAATATCTGGGGGAGTGACCCCCCCTTCTCCTCAAGCCCTTTCTGCCCAATATCTGGGGGAGTGACCCCCCCTTCTCCTCAAGCCCTTTCTGCCCAATATCTGGGGGAGTGACCCCCCCTTCTCCTCAAGCCCTTTCTGCCCAATATCTGGGGGAGTGACCCCCCCTTCTCCTCAAGCCCTTTCTGCCCAATATCTGGGGGAGTGACCCCCCCTTCTCCTCAAGCCCTTTCTGCCCAATATCTGGGGGAGTGACCCCCCCTTCTCCTCAAGCCCTTTCTGCCCAATATCTGGGGGAGTGACCCCCCCTTCTCCTCAAGCCCTTTCTGCCCAATATCTGGGGGAGTGACCCCCCCTTCTCCTCAAGCCCTTTCTGCCCAATATCTGGGGGAGTGACCCCCCCTTCTCCTCAAGCCCTTTCTGCCCAATATCTGGGGGAGTGACCCCCCCTTCTCCTCAAGCCCTTTCTGCCCAATATCTGGGGGAGTGACCCCCCCTTCTCCTCAAGCCCTTTCTGCCCAATATCTGGGGGAGTGACCCCCCCTTCTCCTCAAGCCCTTTCTGCCCAATATCTGGGGGAGTGACCCCCCCTTCTCCTCAAGCCCTTTCTGCCCAATATCTGGGGGAGTGACCCCCCCTTCTCCTCAAGCCCTTTCTGCCCAATATCTGGGGGAGTGACCCCCCCTTCTCCTCAAGCCCTTTCTGCCCAATATCTGGGGGAGTGACCCCCCCTTCTCCTCAAGCCCTTTCTGCCCAATATCTGGGGGAGTGACCCCCCCTTCTCCTCAAGCCCTTTCTGCCCAATATCTGGGGGAGTGACCCCCCCTTCTCCTCAAGCCCTTTCTGCCCAATATCTGGGGGAGTGACCCCCCCTTCTCCTCAAGCCCTTTCTGCCCAATATCTGGGGGAGTGACCCCCCCTTCTCCTCAAGCCCTTTCTGCCCAATATCTGGGGGAGTGACCCCCCCTTCTCCTCAAGCCCTTTCTGCCCAATATCTGGGGGAGTGACCCCCCCTTCTCCTCAAGCCCTTTCTGCCCAATATCTGGGGGAGTGACCCCCCCTTCTCCTCAAGCCCTTTCTGCCCAATATCTGGGGGAGTGACCCCCCCTTCTCCTCAAGCCCTTTCTGCCCAATATCTGGGGGAGTGACCCCCCCTTCTCCTCAAGCCCTTTCTGCCCAATATCTGGGGGAGTGACCCCCCCTTCTCCTCAAGCCCTTTCTGCCCAATATCTGGGGGAGTGACCCCCCCTTCTCCTCAAGCCCTTTCTGCCCAATATCTGGGGGAGTGACCCCCCCTTCTCCTCAAGCCCTTTCTGCCCAATATCTGGGGGAGTGACCCCCCCTTCTCCTCAAGCCCTTTCTGCCCAATATCTGGGGGAGTGACCCCCCCTTCTCCTCAAGCCCTTTCTGCCCAATATCTGGGGGAGTGACCCCCCCTTCTCCTCAAGCCCTTTCTGCCCAATATCTGGGGGAGTGACCCCCCCTTCTCCTCAAGCCCTTTCTGCCCAATATCTGGGGGAGTGACCCCCCCTTCTCCTCAAGCCCTTTCTGCCCAATATCTGGGGGAGTGACCCCCCCTTCTCCTCAAGCCCTTTCTGCCCAATATCTGGGGGAGTGACCCCCCCTTCTCCTCAAGCCCTTTCTGCCCAATATCTGGGGGAGTGACCCCCCCTTCTCCTCAAGCCCTTTCTGCCCAATATCTGGGGGAGTGACCCCCCCTTCTCCTCAAGCCCTTTCTGCCCAATATCTGGGGGAGTGACCCCCCCTTCTCCTCAAGCCCTTTCTGCCCAATATCTGGGGGAGTGACCCCCCCTTCTCCTCAAGCCCTTTCTGCCCAATATCTGGGGGAGTGACCCCCCCTTCTCCTCAAGCCCTTTCTGCCCAATATCTGGGGGAGTGACCCCCCCTTCTCCTCAAGCCCTTTCTGCCCAATATCTGGGGGAGTGACCCCCCCTTCTCCTCAAGCCCTTTCTGCCCAATATCTGGGGGAGTGACCCCCCCTTCTCCTCAAGCCCTTTCTGCCCAATATCTGGGGGAGTGACCCCCCCTTCTCCTCAAGCCCTTTCTGCCCAATATCTGGGGGAGTGACCCCCCCTTCTCCTCAAGCCCTTTCTGCCCAATATCTGGGGGAGTGACCCCCCCTTCTCCTCAAGCCCTTTCTGCCCAATATCTGGGGGAGTGACCCCCCCTTCTCCTCAAGCCCTTTCTGCCCAATATCTGGGGGAGTGACCCCCCCTTCTCCTCAAGCCCTTTCTGCCCAATATCTGGGGGAGTGACCCCCCCTTCTCCTCAAGCCCTTTCTGCCCAATATCTGGGGGAGTGACCCCCCCTTCTCCTCAAGCCCTTTCTGCCCAATATCTGGGGGAGTGACCCCCCCTTCTCCTCAAGCCCTTTCTGCCCAATATCTGGGGGAGTGACCCCCCCTTCTCCTCAAGCCCTTTCTGCCCAATATCTGGGGGAGTGACCCCCCCTTCTCCTCAAGCCCTTTCTGCCCAATATCTGGGGGAGTGACCCCCCCTTCTCCTCAAGCCCTTTCTGCCCAATATCTGGGGGAGTGACCCCCCCTTCTCCTCAAGCCCTTTCTGCCCAATATCTGGGGGAGTGACCCCCCCTTCTCCTCAAGCCCTTTCTGCCCAATATCTGGGGGAGTGACCCCCCTTCTCCTCAAGCCCTTTCTGCCCAATATCTGGGGGGGTGACCCAGGGGGCAGACGGCGGAGGGGCGACCCGCATGTGCCCAGCCCCCCTTACCTCCAGCCCTGCCCCATCTGCAGCAGGTGGATGACGGCCTGCCAGACCCACACGGAGACGCGGCAGAGGCGCTGGGCGCTGCCGGCGGGGCGCCCGACGGCGCCCATCATGGGCGGCCCGCGGC